GCACCTCACTGATTTTTGACATTCCCAGTTTGGCTTTGGGTGTGCTTTGAGCCCCCAGCTGGGACTCGGGGCCCATCAGGGCACAACCTTAACATCAGTCCCATAAGAGGCAGTCTCAATAGTATTGATTTTACTAAGCCAGGCGGACAAAGAGGTGACCTCTCATTGATGTAACACTGCCCAGCACTGGCCTGTGACATGCTTCACAAGGTAGGGTATGGGAATAGAAGGTTAATTTCCAGCCTGGCAAGAAAAGTGACTGGCTGCACCAGATCATTTCCCATAAAGGTTATGTGATATATGATTTGAAATCAAATGAGCCCCTCTTCTCTTTCATAGCAGGATCTTGGGAGCTGCTGTGAAACCCACTGAAGCTGGAGGTGCAGTTTCTGACTCAAAAAATGTACTGGTTGCAAGCGAGACTGTTGCTTCTCATGAGATGCCTGATGTGATTTTCAGACCACGGTGATTTGAGGTGACTTGCGTAGGCTCAGTCCTTTTGTTGCTGAGTCCCCAGAGACAAATCAGGAATTCACAAGCTATTATTTACTGGGCTTTGGCCTCTAGTATGTACCCTTATACCAGGGGTGGGCAATTATTTTGGGTGGAGGGCCGCTTACTGAGTTTTGGCAAGCCATCGGGGGCCACATGACAGGTAGCCAGGGGCAGATAAATATTAATTTTTCTAAATTTTTTAGGGGCCCTGTGGGCTGGATAGAATGGCCTGGTGGGCTGCATCTAGCCCTTGGGCTGCGTTTTCCTCACCCCTGCTTCATACCCTCTGCCATCATCTAGTGCAGGAGTGGGCAATTATTTTGGGCAGAGGGCCACTTACAACAGCTTACATTTTCCTCTCTGGCACAGGAAAGCAGGAACAGCCCCACGGTCCCAGGCCAAAAGCATCTGCTAGGCAGGGGCTTCTGGTTGGGAGTGGGGGTGGGGCTGGGCGGGCCTTGCTGCTGGGTCCTGCTGTTGGCTTCCTCTGGGTCCTACTGCCCCTGGCTCCTGTCATCTTTGACAGGCAGCCAGGAGTAACTAAATATTTGTTTTCTAATTTTTTCAGGTGCCCCATGGGCCGAATAGAATGGCCTGGCAGGCTGGATCTGGCCCCCAGGCTGTATTTTGCCCACCCCAATCATGTGTCAGCACCAGGTGAGACAAACAGTAGTCAGAAGTAATGAGATACTTGTGTCCTATGACTATTAAAAGTCCTATGATAATGCAAGGCTGACAAGCTGAAGGCATTAACAACTTCCTGGTGCTCTTCCAGCCACTTATGCTTTTTTGTCTGAATCACAATCAGGTGCTGAAGTGCTTCACACCCTGTGGAAAGGGTAATATTTCTATTTAGCACAAGGAAGTGTGGGGCCTGGTGGGGAAAACAAGTTGCCTTGCTTCCTTTTTTTGCAAAAATACCTTGTGATCAAAAGTGAAAGTGTCACCGCAACTCAGATTATCCTGCTGAGGAGATGTTGCTATCCAAGGGCTCCTGCTCACTTGTCACGCACTTGAACCCCTAAATATAACATGCAGGTAATGCTCATTAAATGATCCTAAAGGCTCTGAAATGCCAGCGGTGCTATAGGCTTGCTCATGCTTTAAACCAAGGATTTGAAAAGCAAAAGGCAAACTTCAAAGTGTTTTTTTTTGTTTTGTTTTAAATGATTAACGGAACTGAAAAGCAGAATTTAAGCTGCTAACAGCCGGCATATCAATACACCATCCTTTTCTCAGATAATCTCCATAAAATACAGTGCAGGTTAAAGACCTTGAGAGAAAGAGAGAGACATTGATTTGAATACACGCTAGGTTGGCTGTTATAAATGGAGGGCCTATCCTGACCCATAATTTTGCACCCCAATTTGAGTGGCGGAGGTGAGGATGGATCCTCTTTTCTCTTGCAAAAGAGGAAGCAGCAGGGACCTTGGAGAACAAGCGCAGCCCAGCTGATGTTCTCTCTTCTCTCTTGCCAGGTACCTCAGGGTCTGGGAGCGAACCCATTTCTCTTGGGCCTGCGGCCAGTTGTTTATCTAGGAAGCTATCTTGTACTGGTTTCTCTGTCTCTTGCCTCCTTGTCTTGTGGAAGGAAATGAAAGCATCCCTTTGCAATTCGGGAAGGATTGGAAAGGTCTCTCGTTGCAATCTGGGAAACCATTCTTCTAAAAATAGCAGTTTCTCCTTGTCTTCTTGCTGCAAAACTGCGGCCCTTCCCTTTGCGACAGAAGCAGATTCTCACCGGATCTCCGTACGCTAGAAATAAAGCTCCTCTGAGATCATTCCTTGCTGGGGAGCGGGGGGAAGAGGGGTGCAAGGAAGTGATAAGCTCTAACATCAAACCCCTATTCCTGGGCACACAGCAAGAGGCCACGTGCAAAGGCACTTTTAATCCTGTGAGCGTGCAACAGCGTTTTGCTCTTTCCAAGTCCATCTCGTGATGCTGTGAAACTATGATAATTAAGAGACGCATCATGCATCGCGTTCTAGGAGGCTGCTTCAAAAAAACAAAACAAAAAAACCCCCAAGCCTGGGAAAGTAGATAAAGAGGATGAATAACGTATTTGAAACGTATGGCTTGCCCTTCTGGTTTAAAAATGCCTATGAAAAATGCATTCCTTTTTGTCAGGCTGCAGTTCGACTTTAAATCACCTCCGTGCCATCAACGGCAGGGTTTAGTTTTCAAATATGTTTCCACTTTGTTTCGACACAGCCCCGAGACATTTTCCCTGCGAGGGCAATAATTAAGGCAAGGCGCCTGGAAGCAACGATTCCTTTAGAAACGCTGTAATGAGTGTCTCGGGGCTGCACGATGTTTAGCTTCAAATGCTGATCGCTCCAGAGGTTACAATGAGACCCTGTTCCCTCCTGGGTACCTGTTGAAACGAAACCCATCATCTGATCACTTATAAACCACATATATTTTTTTTTCTGTGTGAAAAAAAGCCAAGTTGTTCTTTAAAACGATCTGAAATCACCCCAAAAGGAGAGCAGTTCTTGATGAATCAGGCTGGCTGGTATGATGCTGAATTTGGGGGACCGGGGCAGGGGCGGGTAGGATGAGTTTGATCTTCACCAAGGTAACATGGGACGGAGATGGCCGTTGTCAGTCTCATGCCCTTCACAACCCCCGCCGTGGTGGGATGCGCAGCCCGCCGGGCACTTGTAGATGTCCCCAAAGGGCAGCGGGCCAAGGGGCTGATGTCTCTGCTCTCCCAGCTGCAGCCACCAGCCTCATCCAAGCCCCCCAGATGCCCCACTCTACTACCTGGGGCTGTGTGACGTGCGTGGGGGGCTCTGCCCTTTCTCATGCAAGTAAGGCTTGCAAGGTGCAGTCTCAAGCAGGGTCAGCTTGTGTCAGTATGTGGGAGGGAGATCAGGAGGGGGCAGGGCTGGTCATACAAGGGGAAAGTGTTCAGACAGAGAGCAGGGGTGTGTGCGTGGCAAAGCACCTCTCCCTGAAGTTTTCTGAGCTTTGCCAACAGGTCTCTCTCTAGTGTGCTCATTCTTCCCATGCCATGGCCCTAAATCCTGATGAGGATTCATGTTTCTGTAAGGCCTAAAGGGACCTGCTCTGCTTGGGGGAGAAGTTTGCTGCACCTTTATCCACTTCTTCCCTTCTTACAAGAGCTACATGACTCCTCCTGGCGGGTCTAGGGCATTTCCTCTGCGTCTTTCCCATCGCACCTGAACTCTTTGGGGCACTACATGTCCATTGTCGGTGCCTGTTGGGATCAAGCCCACCCTGCAATCAATTCGGAAGGAAATGCAAGGAGGCAGGTTGCACAGACATGAAGCACCAAGCACTCGGCCCCCAATGAATCTCCGGAGCAAGCTGCTCTTTTGCAGTCATTCAAAAGTGTGCAGGAAGAATCGGGCTTCTTTTTAAAGGTTGTGCATTTTAATGATAAAGCACAGAGGGAGTGTTGTACCCACACATTGCAAGAGGAAGGGGCAAAAAAGAAATGGGGGTATTGTGCATCACAGACAACAGGCAGAGGCTTTTCACCGCAGCTTGGACTTGCCCACCCAGCTCCAGAAACAGCCACCGTTTTGTACCAGTGGAGGAAGGGGGGGTCTGGGCATTGGACTTGTGATCTCCTGAGGTCCCTTCTGGCCTAGGAAGGGCTTCTCTAGGACGCTCCATTAGACCAGCACTTAATGCTTCAGAAACTCCCATGGTTCATGGGGTCCTGATGCACGGTCTGTGGGGTCCTGCTCACCTTGCCCGTACCTCCAAGTAGCACAGACTGCAGGAGTGCGGCTTGCTAAGGAGATTCATTGGGTGGCGGAGTCCTTTGCACCTCGTGTCTGTGCAACCTGCCTAGTAACCGTCAACCCACCCATCGACCCATGGTATCTGCCCGGCAGTCCTCCACTTTCTAAATAGCAGCAAAAGATCTCAGTGGGATTTGCTGCCTAAACCACAGAATGTCTCAGTGCCGCGTCTGGAAAAAACTGCCTTAAACGCATTTCTCCCCTGGGCTTAAAACAGGAAATAGCTGGCATAGCTTTGGCCATAGGAAAGAGCCGAATGAGCAGAGCTGAAGGGCCTCAGTACTGGCTTTCCATATGTTCAGGCAGATACGCTCGGTTCTCCACAGGCTAAGCATGCCGGGGGCGAAGAGGAGGCGTGTAACCTGGGAGCCCCTGTGCACCGCGAGTAGTGAGTGCAGCAGGACGGGGTCCGTGCTAGGGAGAGGGATCTGAAGGTGGATTTCTGCACGCCCTCCCCCTTTCCTATTATTGCCGCAGAAGCTGTCCAATTAAAGGGTGAGTCAACAAAGCTGCGGTGAGCGGTAGGAGCCCGTCAGTGCTGCCTCTGGGATGCAGATGCAGATTCAGGGCAGCGTTCTGCGCTCTCTTTCGCTTCTGCGAATCCTCTGGTTGCATGGGGTGTACATGAGGCATTACTGAGAACAGAAACTGGCTCTAGGCATGGGTGGCCTGTGC